ACGTAACTAATATTACAATATTAATTTCAATTGTAAGTTTAATCATACATGAAATTAACTCCTCGTCAGAAATGCAATATTACATCCCTCGCCCTTAAAAATTTTATTTCATTTTACGCTCCCAACACGTGCATTCGTTCGTACCCCTCTTAAATTTCGTTGCATTTGAAATCATCGCATAATTTTCCTCGCGGTATTTTCGAAATCGTTCCGAACGTTTCGCGTCCTTCTGCAGTTGGCTCTCGAGTTTCATCCCCCTCCCCCCGTGAAAGAAAACGGAGGGAAGACATTACTCGCGACAGCTGTTCTCTCTTCTAAAGCGATTCAACTACTTCCTACATATTCGTATAATTTTAAACCAATTGTCTCTCAGTTTCACGGACGGATTTGCATTCCTCTGTGCCTGCACTTGCCACGCAAACAATGTTCCATTGTGTTGGCGTGCGAGTTGGCGCGCGCGCGCGTAACCACGCTCCTTGGCGCGAGAAACCCCGGGCGAAGTTCGAAGCGAGGTGAAGCCAGTGACGGAATTGTTCGCACTTTATTTCCCATTCCATTATCCACGGGATCGGGGAAATCTCATGCATCATAAACGAACGGCCGCTGAATTCGATGAATTCGCCCCTATCACGATGAGTTCGTCGAGCTGAAAAGGCTAGGCCTAGCAGCCAGAGTTCTGGAATCTTTTCATAGCCGCCTGGTTAATCTCGTTTCATTCGAGTTTATCGAGTTTCTCGCCAATTCCTTCCGCGTGAAAGCTATCATCTCTCGTGTTTCCTTTTTCTAGTTTGATTCCGGAACGGAGAACCGATTTGGAATGGTTCTTTCTGGCCCGATGATTGATTATCTATTTAATTTCACGTTAAATCTTTGCGTTATTTCGAATGGCAGTTGGAATTATTCATTTCTATGGAGCTGAATTTTATTCGACGGATAATTTGTGTCATCTATTTTCACAATCTGTCTCTGTTAATTCGTGTTAAATACATTACGGATCATTTTCACGTTACTCGAATTTCTCGATAGCGATAATCGTCACGTTAAACTCTAAAGTTAAACTCGAAGCGTTCGCATCCTAAATCTAAATCTGAAACCAATTGTAGAAATATAGTTACGTGGATGCAGATTTTTTTTTTTTTTTTTTTATACTATCAAAGGTAAACGACCGCGTCTCGAATCTTCCGCGTTTGATTTTTCGTTACCACGACATTATCACGCGTGCGTCCAACGACCATTTTAATAATCGTCTGTGCGCAGAATATTTCGCGTAAGCACGCTCCAGCCAGCTTATTTACACTCTTAGCTTGCGTGGAAACACAGGGAAGTTTCGCGGGCGAATTACGGAATTACTTGTGTGCGTGCGGCATTGCAGAGCGAGTGTCATGGTAAAGGACAGGGGGAAAGAGTGGCGCCCCGAGAGAAGAGGGTACATGCAACGTGGCGAATCAAGTACGAGACGTTGTAAGGAGAATTTTCCAGTAAAACGTAATAAAGGGTGTGTGTATGTGTGTGTGGAATGTTGAAGAGACCGTGAGATTCGCGACCACGCACAAAAGCTCACGTAACCGAACTATTCGCCGGGTAACCTAATGGAGAACGTGGACGAGCTGTGAAAAATTCCCCGGAAAACTGTCTCTGCTCGAGATGGAAATGTTGACTTCATTCTCCCTTGCACTGGCTTAGGGGTAACCTGTTTAATCTTGTACTTTGAAGCGTTTCGCATTCTTTGGTACATCTTTCGAACGTAATTTGCTGCGATGATTCAGAAAAAAGAATGATAACTGGCCTCGAAATCCCTCTACACGTTGTTTTACGTTTCGAGAAGGAATTTATTTTGAATTTCGATTCTCGTTTTAAATCTTTGCGAGAGAAAGTGAGTTATATTTTGCATTCGAAACGGCATTATGGCAATAAAAAGCAAGGGATGTTAACCCTCCGCAATGCTGTGTGACTTGAAAGTTACTGTGTTACGGCGTACCGCGAACGATAGTTGCTACCCGCTTCGCTGGTCGTTCTCTCGTCGTGCCTTTTACAGCCGCCGGAGAGATGTTTTTATGAATGAAGGCGAGATGTAGAATAAATACTTATATTTCACTAATATACAAATGTTGGTTGTATGAATGTGGGTGTGTTATGAGTCGGGAGAGGGGCACGCTAGCTCCCCTCGAGACTATTTCTAACTGACCGACCGCTGTGTGCTGCGTGAATCTACGTGACCTTTTAGCATGGTCTACTATGGCCACAGCCTAGGTTGGGCTTTGTTTCTGCCCTACCGAGCCTTTTCACATCCTGTCTCTCCCTCCAAGGCAAGAGAAAGTGTCCTTAGATGAGAATATGACAGGATATCTGGCAATTCTCGGCAGGGTTGAGGTTCCTTGGGAATTGACCTGGCTGACCGCCTCGGTAGACATGTACATACACGAAATTAATGCAAAAGTTTTGTTGCTCGTTCGTACTATCGAATGAATCGAGAATTTTTTGAAAACTCGCTGTTTTAGGAAAGTTACAAGTTCAATCAACTGTCAGACAAACGCGTGTTTGAAATGTTGGAACCAGGCTGTTGGAACAAGCTTGTCGAAAGACGACATTTCGGAAGTACGTTCTCCACTCTTCCAAGATGCTGGTAGCCAAAGAAACTTTCTTCTATTTGAATTTTCGATCAAACTTACACGGCGAGATATTACGCAAATATACGCGATGTAAATTTACTTGTCGTAATGAACTTTGAAAAAGAATGACGGGGGGCGGTTGATAGACGTTTGACAGAGTTGAAACGAAGAATAAAAATCCAGCGAAAACAGCATGGCAGAGAACTCAGCTGGCAAAGAACACTGGTGAACACTGTCATTGTTGAAAATAGACGACGACCTTGAGATTAATAAGGCAGGATTTAACCTCTTGCGCTGGAATAACGTGCCACCCACGTCGAGAATTGTTCTAAAATTGCGATATTCTCTCAGTTTTAAGTAGTATTTAAGTATGACCCAGGCAAAACAAATAATAAATTTATTATTTCTTAATAATTTCTATCTACAGTGATATTATCATACCAACAAGTTCAGAAAAGAAAGCGACGAATTATTGTATACGGTTTGGTCACTCGTTATGGTCCGCAATCAGTTGCCAGCGCAAGTGGTTAATAGGAAACGCATGGGCGACTCGTCGACTCGATATTAATTGAAACGTAACGTTAATTGCAGCTGTAATCGACACGTTTATCCGTGGCCATTATCGCGCGATCATGCGTGCCGTCGTTGTGGCTCGTTTCGATTATTTAAAAATTAAACTCGAGCAGGAAAGATTGGTCGATTAACGACGATCGAACATCGAAAATACGTCGCTGCGTTGTTCGCGTAAGAACATCCGTAATTATCCTCGCTGAGTCAAGGTCATCTCTGAGGCTAATTAATTGTTATCGGATCTGTACTATGTACTGTAGCGAACCACTTCCTACTCGTTGGATTTCGATAAGTACTGGACGATTGTTGCAGTGAAATTATATCGAGATCTCGTTCACTCGGGATTGTTCAGTTTGCTCTGTGGAGTTTGTCAGCTCGAGACGTTTGATCAAACTTCAAGAATGTGATTTGCGTGAACAGGCGTCGAAAGTGTCCCTGAAGATTCGTCAAAGTAAGTAAATTTCGATAGGCGTTAAGGAAACTTCGTATTGCTGCGAAAATATTTTTCACACAAAAACGAGATACATTCGTAGAAACAGATTTCACTCGATATTTGTCATTTTAGAATCAAATCGATATTAGATTTATTTTTGCTCGTTGTAAAAGAATGTAAAATAACCCTCTGGATACGATTCAATGTATTTTTGAACAATTTGATTGATAATTTTTACAAAAGTAAAACGGAGAATTTTAACGAGCAATCGTATTTGAGTTATAAACTTTATCGTCACGTGAACTGTAAATGATTTCAATCTTCTTCCTGCTTTCCGCGTCGCTGAAAATAAGAGAAAATAAGGTTTAGAATTTGAGCGGGTAGCTCTGTCTGATTTCCAATTTAAATGTCATATTCTCTAAACGTGATCGCTTCGTATTGTAAAATTTTATTTTCTATCGGGAGGAAAAACGAAACGCGATTGTGCGACGGAAAGCGGGTCACTGTATTTACCGTCGTAACACACAATCGATAATTTCTACTCGAATCTCGCAGAGTCTAAATATCGTCGACAGCTGTTGATAATCGATGGTTTTCGTTATTTCGAAGTTTCGTTCATCCGTTTCTGAATTATACTTTCCTTCACCTGGAAGAGTAATTTCCAAATCGAATGCTCGACAGTGACTCGCGATAGACTCGCGAAAACATCCCTCGTTGAAAAGTTGAGAATTTGAAATTTCCTAAACACAAAAAAGAAACATCGCAACTCTGTGTCTGTGATTGGCGACGTTCATTTAAACTTTGAGGGATGAAACGAGATACCCTCTCGTTGGCTTTCTAACCTCTCTCTCTCTCTCTCTCTCTCTCTCTCTCTCGCAGGCGTACCAACGCGTACCAACGCAAACGGGGATAGACGCAACTGAAAAGGAACCGTTCCGAAAGGGTTCGTATTTCTGACAGACGCCATTTCCTGGGGGGTCGATATAATACATTTCTTCTTTGCCAGTCGCGAAGGGAAGACGGCTGAAAGCGCCGCGGACGAATGAAACTTCTCGTCGAGAGGGAAAGGCAAAGAATCCTTCGCGATGAAAGAGGGAAGGAACGATCGTCTCTGGAGATGCTCGAAGGTCAGGGGTGCTTTTCGTCGACGCCGCAACCGAGTTAGAAGTTCGATTTCTCTTTCAATCCTCTCTCTCTCTCTCTCTCTCTCTCTCATACACTCCTGCTCGTCCTAGCCTACCTTTGAATTTTTAATTCAACCAACCGCTGTTACGAGCGGAGTAATAAGTTAGAAACTTATTTAGAGTCCATAATTTCGATAAAATTCCTACGAGGTTGCTACACACCGTGGCTAATAATCTTTCGTTTTTTTTTTTTTTATGTTTTAGAATTCCAATAGCCAGAAAACCAGTTCGTCGAGAAAGAGGTCAGCTTCAGCTGTGAAAGGGTGAGTGTACGAAGTACCTTCTGAATTCTAAAATTTTAGCGAAAAATTTTTATTCCAGACGTTCTTTAAAAATCTTTTCCATTTGGAGAGGTAAAACACGGTTGATTCTCTGACCCAATTCGGCAGGATCGGTAGATGATTTTTGACGTCGAATTAACGATACAAACGTTCCCTCAAAATCACAATTGGAAATATTCTCGGTAGCTGAAGATCGTAGTATCTCGGTAGTTTGATAATTCATTCGAGCTTTCGGTTCTACGAAATTTTCTCTTGGACTTTGCCGACTGCGAAACAAAGTCAGTCCCGGAGAGAAGTAGATTCTTCTTTGAGGAAGGCGTTGCCTTATACAAGTGGTAGATGGATCCCCGAAGAACCTGCGAATGATTTTCAGTTCGTTAAGCGCTGTTGCATTCGCGGGGTCAAGAGATCAGCGCGAAGCATTATATCGTGTTGTGTTTCTAGTTGGTAGACGCGTTCTCGCCTCGATAACGCTATCGTCTCGCACCGTTCTCGGAGGATCGTTTCTCATTCATTCGCCGCGGTGAATTTATTCCGCGATACCTTCGTATCTTCTTGGGTTCATTATCAAGCCCCTGTCTTCGTAGTGGGTCTTGGTAGACCCTGTGCTCTCGTAGCAACACAGTCGTTCGTTCGTTCGTTCTACCTTTTGTCCAAAGATCCCGTGGCTCGATTTATGAAAACGATGCGATACCAGAGTAAGCCCCACGGTTATTTACCTCCGGAGAGAATTATAATGGCTAGCTCGTTGCGAACGCGAGTGTAAGTGGTTGCCGCTAAATAATGCTTTCTCCCCGGGAGAGAAAAAAGGTATCGCCGGGTATCTCCGCGCCGCGCTGCAAATAAACGAGTCGGTTGTGAGCCTGAAATCAAGCAGTTCGCGCGAGAGAGGAGAAAACCTAGGAAATGGCGGTACCATTGAGGGAGAGTTTGATGGTAATTCGAGGGTAGTTTCTCGTTCGCTCTATTCTCTCGGAGAAAGAGACACTTCCACTAGTTTAGGGGATTCTGCACGGTGAACGATCACGATGGGATCAACGAAGATGAATAGGAGATTCTGATTAAGTCACCACTCCCTTTTGTCCTGTCCTTTCAGCTAGGCTCAGATAAGACCTCGCGGCGAGAGAAAATGATCGTCTAACGCGATGTTTGGCTAGCCGTTGAGCACTTGGAAATATTCGCAAACATCGCCGAGTACAAGAGACTTCAATTTCACTTGTCAGTTGGCAACTGCAGCCAAACTTGGGAAATTCTTTCGCGTAGTTTTGGAATCGAGATGTTTGCGTCGCGAATCAGACCGCGTTTAAACAGCGATCAAGTTTCGGTCACCAGAAGTTTTCGGCAGGGTCGAAACGACGAAACGGTCGTTGCGGTGCAAACGGGAGGATTTCATGCAATATGAAATTCTCGGACCTTGGCTCGCGGATTTCCCCTTTGTTCGTACCCGACTGTACCTAACAAACCATCCACCATCTTCTCGCTAGAGAATCTTGACGCAAGTTACGCCATACCTCGGGTTTGCACATTCGCGGACAAACGTGCGTTCTCCGAAAACGAAAACGTTGTTACTCGCGTCGAACGAGATCTTGTAATTGTTGTTTGGGACAGAGATCAGTGAAAAAACTTTATTTTCCGATATTAGAGATTTTATCCCTAAGAATCGGTGATTGCGGTGTTTCGTGAAGAAATTTTCAACTCCGAATAATAAGACGTTCTCAGGTAGCAACGATGTAAAACCACAAGTACAGAAGCATGTTATTCAAGAAGAAATTTTCAGTGCACTATCTCGAGGCGTAATTGTCTAACGCACGTTAATTAGGAATCGTTGCAGGCGCTAAAATTGCTATTTTAGAAGGAGATACCATCGTTAGGGTAGCGACACAAACAACAATTTCAAGGCTGGTTGTTGTAAACACGTTATGCAAGTGGAGATTATAATACCGCGTTATCACGGTGATTCAACCTAATCTCTTTAAAAAAAAAACGCCCGTTAAACCCAGGGAATTCATAATTCGTAACTCCTTTTTTCCTGCGGCAATCGAAGAGAAGCCTGTAGATAGTATTTGTTGGCGCAAATTATAGAAAAATTTGACAGACACAAATATCTCATCCATCTGGACATGAATACCAATAATCTCTCGAAAACCTGTTCCCGTGCAAGATGGATTTCTATCTGTTACAAATCAGTTTGCAATTCTTTGCGTCTTGTTATAAAATTTTAAAAGAAAAAAAAGGAAACGCTTCACTAAAGCAAGAGAGAAAATTAAATCTATATAATTATTTCTACAGTATTTTCTATTTGAAGAAGATAAAACGAGATTACCTCGTACTGTTTTTCACACAAATTGGTAATAATTGCAGCTAAGATGGACGAAGTCGTTTCTGAGTAAAATTCATCGTGCAACTTTGATCTTTTATCCGTCGTAAATTAGTTTACAGTTTGTTTCCTGTCGAAAGAATGGAGAAAACTAGAGCCGGGAGAGTTTCGCCACTGTCGGGAATTATTACAGTTTCACTCGGTTCTCGATACATTATCCGTGGAATGATTTACTTTTAGATTTACTTCGCTTTCGATATTTCATTGGAAAAAAAAAAAAAAAAAACGAGCGCGATGTGTTTAACCAATAAAAACCGTCTTCGTAGCGAGTGAAAGAAACGGGGGCTGGAAGTCGTTGCAAGTTGGCGGTAAAAAGCATTGGGAAAGTCGACCGGTCATTTAATAACGTTTTTACCATCGGTCAAGAAGTTTGGCCCCGGCTTGTACGTGTGAAAAAGTTTCGTTTCACGGGCATAAATCTGCATGATGACGCGGATTTTTGTAGCGAGCCGGACGACTCTCGGACTTTTTGTTTTTGTTTTCTTTCTCTCTTTTTAAGAAAAAGAAGACTCGAGGAATGCGTCGAGCGAGAGTGATAGAGGGCTCGGCGTCGTCGAGTTCATTAGACTTCTACTCGGTCCATCGTCTATGGCCGCGATACGTGCGCGCTTGAAAGCTCTGTAGAACACAGACCAGACATGATCGATCGCGAACCATTATTTGTCGTTACGGAAGACACCTCCTCCTGCTGGCTAAGAAATTGACGATTCGCAGTCGCCACCCGTCGCCGATTAAACATCGTTAACTTTTCTCGATTACCTTCTCCTCTCGTTCGGCGTATTTCTTTTCTTTTTTTTTCTCTCGTGCAATCGTACGTCTATGTAATAAATATCAACAAAAGCAATATTCAGCTTCTGTTCTTTCTTGTAATCTTAAAGCTTTAATATACACGTACTAAATTCGTTTCGTCGGTCACCAGTGAACGTGTTAAACTCTGCAAGAGTAATTCGTCATTTGATCTGATTTATTAATCGTTAACTTTTCTCGATTACCTTCTCCTCTCGTTCGGCGTATTTCTTTTCTTTTTTTTTCTCTCGTGCAATCGTACGTCTATCTAATAAATATCAACAAAAGCAATATTCAGCTTCTGTTCTTTCCTATAATCTTAAAGCTTTAATATACACGTACTAAATTTGTTTCGTCGGTGAACGTGTTAAACTCTGCAAGAACAATTCGTCGTTTGATATCCGGAGAATCGCGATCGACGCGGTATCTTCTAGTCCCGGACTTCCTTCCTTTCTCCATCTCGCCCCACTGAAATATCATCAGCATTAAGAAGCAGGGGCCATAAATGTTACGCGACGTGATCGATGAGTTTCATGTCTTTTATCAATCACCGAGAGTTCTTAGTGTGTGCAGCCGTTAGATTGTACGTGACATCTTATTCACGCCTGTTTTAATTACGATTCTCTTTTTGTCGCGAGTGGCTTCCGATTCGGAGAACCTCGTCCACAAATAGAATAGCACGTTTATCGACTTGGATATTGGTGGATTTAGAAATTTGAGAATCTCGAGGATAAATCGGAAGATGGGATGAATTTATTATTTCACACTTGAAGGTTTAAACGTTCGAGCTTGAAATAAACGTCCGGCGTTCTTTGGATATACGACAGGAAAAAGGTATGTTCAATTAAAAAGAAAAACTTAAATACGATATCGACGCGATGAAGTATCTACGATCTTTGCCACGAATATCAGTTGTCTTTTGAAATAATACCGAGGCAATACGGGGAAATACGATATTTCGATAATGAGATGTACTTTGTACTTATAATGGTAGATTGAAAAATGCAGTCCGTAATACGCGCCAGTGGATTTTAATTGCAAAAAATTTCCTCTCGCGAGGAAGCAAGAAACGGCTGAAAGAGAGGAAGCAAGGTGCTTTCGCGTTTATGGAAAAACGTCGTTCCATTCCGTGCCTCTCTCGATTTTCATTCTACCACGCTGTTATCGTAGAATTACGCGTTAATGAACTTGTACTGTTTTTACTCAACCCACCTCTGTTCTATTCTTTCGCTCGCGATTTTTAGCAACCTTTCAGAACTCGAGCCAAAGGTCGTTTGTTAATTAATTACGATATTAATTAGCGTTGAAGGTCTTAGGACGCGTTTAGATTAACAAAGTAGTACGTAAGCAACTAATCTTGTAGAATTGTTTCCCTCGAATGGCAATCTTCTTAAACAAATTTTCCATTGAAAGCAAAAGGGCGCTTCCACTAATTTTCTAATGATTCTTCAATACAAAGTGATCTAAATGACCAATTTTTTAAATAGAAATTTTATATAATTACAACAGTAGATCTATTTTTAGATACTCGAATGATTTGTAATGAAATATATTAATGGTAGCTCGTGTCCTTTTCTCTCTTGTACCTTGTACCTTTCATTTCTTTCCTACAAATATTCCATCTGATTTTTCGTCGGTAGTTCTAGTGTTAGTTCTACTGTAGCCATTCTAGAACATAACCATAACAGATTGAAAGGGGGTGTCGCAACTAGCCACCGACTATGAACAGCTGGTTGGCACAGAGAAGTCGTCGATCGGCTCGTTAATTAAAATGGCAATCGACGAATTAATTCGCGTTTATCACACTTATTAACCCCGC